AAAAATTAATAATAAATCATACTTGGCTGAACACTGAACATTTGACTTCGAAATTCCAATAGGTTTTAGTGATGGTCATTTGATAAGCAGTAATAAGCAAAATATACTGAAAACAAGAAGAGTTTTCTTTTGATTTCTAACTTTACAATGGTATGATTTACTTTTTAGAGAGGAAAATCCTAGTTTCTATGGCTTACAACCAGAATCAAATAGCATATTAAATAGAATACCTGACTAGATCTCAACTTCTTATTTTCCAGGTGGCTCTTCTCCTGTAACAGGGCCTCCTTCTTAGAAACTATGGCCTCCCGTTTCTTTAAGTCTTCTTCCAGCTCCTCTAATTCTTGGCGTTGGTTCAGAACTTTCTCTACTTCTTCATCTAACCATTTCTTTTGCTCGTCCAATTTCTACATTAAAATTTCAGAGAAATGTTATTTGTTTTTCCTTCTGCCATAAAAATTATGTGGTAGCAATATAATTTCAGGTTGGCTGAAACCTCTTAAATGAACACTTAAAAATTGTCACTAAGAGTAACTCATGTTCCTGTCTGAAACCCTAAAGAAGTAGTTCTAGTCAAGATGTTGCTGTGTTGTTTTTCTGAGGAATTAAAATTTACTCCCCAAATATGTTGAAGAGTCTGGGGTTTTTTAGCATGACAAAGTAGGGGCTGACAATTTTCTATGTGTATGTTAAGAGCATCTTTTTCTACGTTGCATACTTCCATCACAGCACTTACACTGGTGGTTGCTCTCCTAGTCTGTCTCCCCAACTTGAGCTCCTTGATTGACTGCAGGGAATGTACTTTTTACCTCTTTATCCACAATTCCTGGTACATTGCCTGGCCCACAGCTGGCATTCAATAAAATATTAAATGAAGAGTGAATGAATGCCTGATTCAATCAATTAATCAATGAAGTGAATAAATGAATACACATAGTGGAAGATATAGGTGATGGAACATATAAAGAAACCCAATCTGCATTTTAGCTTGTCAACATTAAATAATTATTTTAAAAAATAAACAGAACTGGAAAAATCTCCAAAACAAACATCTTAGGATGCTCTTGAATTAAGGATACCCAGAAATACATACACACATAAGTATTAATGGAATATGACTGTCCAAGAAGAACTCTACCAATGAAGCAATGCCACCAAAACAACAAATAAATTTTAAAAATCAATATAATACTATTTTCCAGTCCTTCATGAACCTTATACAAAAGGTTCCTAAGAAATCTATATTAATACAATGAGACAGTGAATATGCACAAGAAAGAGAGAGCAAAGTGGCTAAGGCAAAGAAGATGCAAAGCTATTCAGTCTCCCATCTAGACCTAGATAGTATGATTCTATAGGCACTATCACATCCAAATAACACTGAAGCCTAAAATAGTAGCTCTGCAATTATTAGGAATAGGAAGAGCAACTATAAACATATATTAGTTTTGTTATATTCTTAGAAACACCAGTAGGAGACCCTATGAAGTCTAGCAGGTAACTTAAACATACTCTACAAACATTCCTCAACTGTAAGTGGGGTCTGAAAGGTAAATTAGAAGTCCTTTGTAAGCTTCATTGCAAAAAGATAAAAATACAAAACTTACAATTTTTGATGACATTTCTGGGTGGAAAGAGTGTAAGTGGGAATACATCCATGTCCTAAATGTCACTATTAAAGTATAATATACAAAATATAGGGGCTGGGCATAATAGCTCACACCTGTAATCCCAGCACTTTGGGAGGCTGAGGTGGGAGCTTGAGGCCAGGAGTTCGAGACCAGCCTGGGCAACAGAGTGAGACCCCATCTCTATAAAAAATAAAATTAGCCAGGTATGGTGGCATGCACTTATACTTGGCAGGCTGAGGCAGGAGGATCACCTAAGCCCAGGAGTTTGAGGCTGCAGTGAGCTACGATCACGCCACTGCACTCCACCCTGGGCAGCAGAGTGAAACCCTGTCTCAAAAAAAATTAGGAAGAAAGAATAAATTTTTCCAAATTAAGGTAGATGTACTTCCATGAATGTAATTACAGTTTTAAGTACAGTATTTTTCTTACATAAAATTTAAAGTTTCACACCTGAGAAATGAGAGTAGAAAAAATTTTTTAATTTCAGTTTCTTTGAACTTTGGAATTAGTTTATGGATTTTAAACTTTTATTCTTAAAACGTGGCACTAAAATAACTTTTTAAAGCAGCAGTCCCCAAACTTTTTGGCACTAGGGACCGTTTTCATGGAAGACAAACCGGGGGTGGAGGGTGGGGTGATGGTTTCGGGATGATTCAAGCACATTACATTTATTGTGCACTTTATTATTATTACATTGTACTATATAATGAAATAATTGTACAACTCACCATAGATTGGGGACCCCTGAATAGTACATATACAATTTGGTTCTGTTTGAATGTTGAGCTCTGATTTTTAGAAATATACCTGTCTTCATGAGAATAAACCAATCTTTACATGGGACTAAATATAATCTAGTGAGCATGGATTTCATATTTATATTCTACAATATTCAAGTAAACCCATATCTACGGAAATAAGAATATAGCACATTTCTGTATGAGAAAGTAATTTTTAATAAAAGTGCATCCCGAAGTTGTTCAGGACGCTGAAAGAGATACAATTAGGAAAAATGTTTTTCCTATAGAAAAAGTTTCAAAAGAAACACTAGAAATTTTGCACTAAAGTGGCAAAAAGTCTAGTGTTTGAAGGTTTTATTCAGAGTCCACCACTTTTTACCTCTATTTAGACAATCATTAAATTGAAGAGAAACCAGGAAGCACTAAATAGAATCAACAGACCTGGAGTGGGTCTATACTTCCCAACAAATCTTTTCTCCTTTTCCAGTTAAATGCATCAAGGTCCTCAGCTTTCAGTTTTAGACCTTCTTCCTGTTCTGATTTTAACTGTAGTTCCTGTAGAAAAAGAAATCGAAAACACCTTATTGCTTTCTCTACCTAGCCATCATTAAATATGCACATAATCATTTTCTTAACATTTACCCTCTTAGTTGCAAAAAGGAAAAAAATGAATAAATGAAGATTGGGGCTGTTTGAGAAGAAAATAATGTGTTTTTGGGTTTTTTTATTTAATTGACAAATAATAATTGTATGTATTCATGGCATACATAGTCATGTTTTGATGCATATAATGTATAGTGATTAGATCAGGGTAATCAGCATATCCAAGAAGAAAATGTTACCTCTCGTTGAGGCAATAAAATCTAACTGAAAATATCAGGGTTTACTAACAAACTGAGCATTTTTTTCATTCTTTATGAGTGTTATAAATTAGCATAACAGGGATAAGCATATGAAATGTGCTTTTCTCTTCTGCCTTTCTGAGCTCATTACCTTCACAGCTAGTTCACCCAAGACACCCATTTGCCATGGGTATATTAAAATTTATTACAGTAGAAATACAAGAAGAAAAGAAATACTCAGTTTCTGGCGTTCAAAAATGAGAGTTTATAGCATGAGAATAGCCTTGCAAGACAGATCATGGTTCTGTGGAGTATTTTCCAAATTCCTCTCATTTCCATCTACATCTTAAGGGTCAAGAGGCCCAACGTTCACAGTATTCTCTTGGGCTTTAGAGAAAATGATGCTGTCCACCAGTAAAGGAACCAAGAAGGAGGCCATGAGTCAAAGTGGGCCAGTCTTCATACTACTTGTAATGGTCCATGATGGACAAATACAAAATTAAAAGTAAGTGTTTAGATATACTTTTATAGCAGTTTGACAGAATTTTATATCTCTTGACTTTAATAATTTAAAAAATGGACTTTTACTGGCATATTTTTATTTCATTTTTCTGCTAATGCATAGTTCACAAAAGTATTAGACTGTGACAAATTCATAATAAAATGAAAACTGTACCTTCTCCACAGGTAATTTCAGAAGTACTGATAGAAAGGAAGTAATAGAAAAAGCCTAGCACTCTCCATCCCTGGGAATAGCAGAAAGAAAAAAAGAGACAGTAAGGAAGACTTGTATCCCAACTGTCCCTCTGAGTTTTGGCCCAGAAAGAGGGTAATGAGTGAAGGTATCAGTGGGGACAGAGAGGGTCCTAGCGCATTCAGGAGAGAGAACGCAGACTGCAGAGCAGAGGCTCCACACCCACAGGGGGTGGACCAGCATTGCCAAAGAGCAGAGAGATATGATTAGGAAAGGACACTAAGTGGACTCCTTGGTCTCAGGTAACACAAATCCTGAGTTAAGAGCCAAAATGGGTAATGTGGAGGATTGGCCCCAAAGCTGGCGGTAAGGACAAACCACTGGACTAGCAAGCTAGATGGAAGACCTAGTGGCCTCAACAGGGGTTTATGACAGTGGGAGATGAGATAAAGTAGAAGCAGCCCCAAGTGTTAAACCAGAAGACCAGATTTTGAGTTATACCAGCCAGGGGCTTCACCATCAAGGCCAGCAGGTTAGGCAGGGGGAGGTGGACAAGGGAGAGCAGATTCCAGCCAGTCACATCCCTCAACTCCATGAGATACAATAAAAGAAAGCTATACCCCCAACCACCACATATACTGGATGCCATCTTAGGGAGAGAAGCATATGGAGGAAGAGGCTAAAAGACTGAGCATTCTTATTCAAGAGACTTGAGAAATATTTAAAGGAAATGTTTACATTTTCAGAATAAGATTTGAACAGATAGGACATTTGGTTAATTCCCAACGTATTTCCAGCAATTATCGTGACATGGATTGTAGGGGAAGGGAGCGCTCACAAAGAAGACAGGTATAGACTAAATAAAGACATTTTCTATGCCCATCTGAGTTGTATTATGAGTGAATTGGGACCCTATTATATTTACTACCCATTCATTCTTCATGATCCCCAAGCTCTAGTTTATAGTTACACTTTAACCCCTGCCGTAGCCCTACCAACTTCAGGATGCTGAAATAAAGCTATCTTAAATAAAGCTACCTTATACTTGGAGTTGACTCTCTTCTATTCCTATTTGTCCACATACACTTTAAAAGTGTACTGCAATAGGTCTAATTCCCTCTTCCACATATTGCTCCAGACATTATTGCTTTTCTCTTAAATTGTCATTCTTGTTACAATAACTGTGTACCAGACACTGTGCTAGGCTTTTTACATCTATTTATCCCATTTAATCCTCACAACAATCCTATGAGACAGGGACTATTATAACCTCCATTTTACAGATGAGGAAATAGGTGCTTAGAGACATAAAAAGCCCAAGATCACACCACCACTCACAATTTCAGGGGTTTCCATATTTTTTCTTTGAAACCTCTCCATGGACCTCAGCTAAGAACTGCTGTTCTGAGGAGAACCTATGCAGAACTCATAGTATTCTCTGGAAATGGCCTAGTCAAGTAGAAAATGGACAAACAGGAGTGTCAGAAAGTTAGCTCCAAACAGATGGCAAGATTTCCTTTAGGACTGTAAGCAGGTTTTGGTTTTTGCATGAAGTAGTGGAAATATCGATGTATCTTTGGAGCAGTCTATTCCTTTTTCTGAAATACCTGTTACTCCCTATAAATGGGTCATTTCCATAGAATTAGAAATGTGGCTAGATGGAATAAAAGTGCCCTAGATCAGAATGTAAAAAGTTTAAGTTACAGGCAGAGTTGCATTTCAGCAGACTATACACTGTTTGAACAAGAGTTCTTTTATTGTCCCTTAGCATGGACTTGGTGCTATATCTTGCCGGTTTAAGCCAAAGGCTCTAAGAGATGAAGAGGTAAAACCCAAAGACCACAAGACAGGCCTGATCCTCACATTACAGGAAGAGAAAGAAACTAGGTTATTGGCAGCAGAAATGAAAATTGGACAGATTCATGATGTTTGGAAGATATAGTGGTTCACTGGATATATGAGTGATAAGAGGCAAGAGTCAATGACGACTCCTAAATTTCTAGCTTACCCACTGAATGGATTGACATGTCATGTAAGGTGCACTGGAGAACTACATTTTTTCCCCCATGAAGGAAGCAGGGAGAAGTAGTGGGGAGATAAGGAAGGAAGATTATGAATTAATCTATAAGACAACCTAGTGAAGATGTTGATGGTTGGACATATGAATCTAGAACTCAAAGGACAGATTAAGGGATTAAGGATTAAATCTGGGAGTGTCAAGAGTTTAACTGCAGCCATGTAAAAAGATAAGGTCACCTAGGACAGAGTATAGAAGACAGACGAGATTTAAAAGGACTGGTAGAGTGGATGAACAAGCAAGGACAGAACAATCGGAAAGGAGGAAAAAACAAGTATAATGTCACAAAGGCAAAGGGGAAAATATTTCAGAATGGAGGAAGGAGTGAACTGTGCTGGATGCATAGTGTTAAAGGACTTTAGCAACAGCTTTTAAGTGAGTGGTAGAGCCAGAAGCCAGCAGGGAGAGGATAAGAGAATGAAAGGAAGCAAAAGAAATAGAAACAAATGCAGGCAACTTTTCTGAGAAGTTTGGTTACAAAGGGGAGATGAGAGAGGGAGTAGCTGGAGGTGAAAAAATGGTTGAAAGAGGATAATTTTAGGATGGAAAAATCTTATGTTTAAAGACAGAATCCAGGAGAAAAGGAAAAGTTGAAAATATAGAAGGAAAAAAGGATTAAATAAGGCATATACATGTTTAGTATAGTATTGTCTGAATATAAATTCTCAATGTTAACTATTGCTATAATAATAATTATTACCATTATTATTAAGAATAAGTAACTCAAGGAAATTAAGAAAGCAATTCCATTTACAACAGCATCTAAAAGAATAAAATATCTGGGAACAAATTTAACCAAGGAGATACAAGACTAGTACACTGAAAATTAAAAGATATTGCTGAAACAAATTAAAGAAGACTTAAACAAATGGAAAGACATCCCATGATCATGGATAGGAAGATTTAATACTGTCAAGATGTCAGTACTACTCAGAGCAATCTGGAAATTCAGTGCAATTCCTGTCACAATCCAATGGCCAATGGACTTGTTTACAGAAATGGAAAGGCCCATCCTCAATTCACATGGAATTGTGAGGACCTCAAATAGCAAAAACAATCTTGAAAAAGAAGAGCAAAGTTCAAGGACTTATTTCCTGATTTGAAAACTGACTACAAAGCTACAGTAATCAAAATAGTGTGGTGCTAGCATGAGGACAGACATATAGACCAATGGAACAGAACTGAGAGTTTAAAACCATATATCTATGGCTAATTTTTTTGAATAAAAATTGTACATATGTAAGATACACAGATGATGTTTTGATATACATATACATAGTGAAATGATTACAACAGTCAAGTTAACTAATATTTCTATCTCCTCATATAGTTACCGTTTTGTTTTTTATGGTGAGGACACCTGAAATCCACTCTCTTAGCAAATTTCCAATGTACAGTACAGCATTATCAACTATAGTCATCATGCTGTACATTAGATTTCTAGACTTATTTATCCTACAAACTGCAACTTTGTACCCTTTGACCAACATCTCCCCATTTGCCCCATCAGCATCTCTCCAGTTTCCCTTCCAACTGATTTTTGGCAAGGGTGCCAAGTCCATTCAATGAAGAAAGAATAGTCTCTTCAACAAATGGTACTGGGACAACTGGACTTCCACACGCAAAAGGATAAAGTTGGAGCCCTACTTCATACTACATACAAAAACTGACCCCAAATGAATCAATGACCTAAATATAAAAGCAAAATCCATAAAACTCTTAGAAGAAAACCCAGGGGCAAATCTTCATGACCTTGGATTTGGCAATGGATTCTTAGATATGATAGCAAAAGTACAAGCAACAACAAAAACAAAAAAAAAATAGATAAACTGGACTTCATCAAAATTAAAAACTTTGTGGATCAAAGGATATTATCAAACATGTATCTGATAGCATTTCATGTCCAGAATACATAAAGAACTCCTACAACTCGATAACAAACAACCAAATTAAAACGTGGACAAAGAACTTGAGTAAACATTTCTCCAAAGAAGATATAAAAATGGCCAAAAAGCACATGAAAAGATGCTCAAGATTAGTTATTAGTGAAATGTAAATCAAAGCCACAATGAGATACCACTTCACACCTACTTGGATGGCTTTAATAAAGAAAGAGAAACGAGAGGTGAAAAAGTGAAGAAATGAGAACATTCATACATTGCTGGTGGGAACACAAAATGGTGTTGCCACTGTGGAAAATGGTTCCTCAAAAAGCTAAACATAGAGTTACCATATAACCCAGAAATTCCACTCCTAAATGTATACCCAAAGGAATTGAAAGCAGGGACTCAAACAGTTATTGATATATGTTGATATATCATCACAGCATTATTCACAATAGCCAAATCGTGGAAATAACCCAAGTATCCATTGATGGATAAATGGATAAACAAATTGTGGCATATCCATATAATGGAATATTATTTGGCAATGAAAGGGAATGAAGTTCTGATACATGCTACAACATGGATGAACCCTGAAAACATACTAAGTGAAATAAGCCAGACCCAGAAAGGCAAATATTGTATGATTCTACTTATATGAAGTATCTAGAATAAGTACATCCACAGAGACAGAAAATAGTGATTACCAAGGACTGGAGAAGAGGAGAATGTGGAGTTACTGCTTAACAGTTACAGAGTTTCTGTTTGGGATGATGAAAAATTTTGAAAATACATAGTGGTCATGTTTGTACAACATTGTGAATTTAATGCTGCTGAATTATACACTCAAAAATGGTTAAAATTTTATGTTACATATATTTACCACAACTTATAAAAACTAATCATGTAACCAAACCTGTTGAATTGTATACTTTAAATAGGTGAATTGTATGGTATATGAATTATGGTATATGGTATATGAATTATATCTCAATAAAGCTGTTTTAAAAAAAAAGAATGAGTAACTTGTCTTAAATGCTCCTTAAGTTCCCTTCCATCACTAAATTCTGTGATTTTTTTTTTAAAGTCAGAAAATAGGTTATACCCAGTGTTAAAAATCTAGGAAATCTGGAAGCTTTAAATAATGGGGGAGGCTATGCATGGGGTATATAGCATATTGCTGTACCTTCCTTTCAATTTTGCTATGAATCTAAAATTGCTCTAAAAAAATAAAATCTTAATTTAAAAAAATCTAGGAAATCTCCAATTATGTTCCAGGACTTAGGAACATAATGTTCCTAAGCTGAACATAATGTTCGGCTTAACATTTCAACAGAACAGAACCTGGCACACAGTGCTAGATAAGTGTTTGCTATTATGATCCTCATCATCTTTTTTCAAAAAAGCCCTGTGGGACAAGTATGATTAAGGCCATTTTAGATAAGAATATAGACTCAGAGAGGGTAAGTGATTCTCTCAATAAATTTTCTCAATAAATTCTCTCAATAAATCTCTCAATAATTCTCTCAATAAATCTCTCAGCCAGGAACTGAGAGAGCTGGGATCTGAGTCCATGCTAGCCTGGCTCCAGAGCCCAGGCTTACACCACTAGTCCCTGCCCAATGTATTCTATAGAACTGCTATGCATTCAGGTCTGATCACTCTTCTACTCACTATGAGTGAAATGGTACAATTTTATCTGGTACTTTTTTCCACATAGCCACATGGACAATGCACATCAAAACACTTTGAAAATGGGAAATCCTATTCAAATGATAGATATTATTTAGAAAGTTGGTTTTATAAGTTAACGTTTTTAACAGCCTCAACTAAAGTTAAGATCCTAAGATAAATTTTATCACTGTACCTTCTTTTGTGAAGTCAAAGCCTTCAAGACAGTACTCAGAATTCAATAAATAGGTTTTACTATGTAGATGAACAAGGCTTTTAAGTGAATAAGGACAGCAGTGAAGGGCAGGTCAAGGATAGATAACTTCAGAAGTCAAATGAACCTTGGCTTCGTTAGCTCTGGGCCGTTTAATATGTCATGTTATACTTAGCAGGAATGTATGACAATATTACTTTGATTTTTTGTTGATCCCGCTTAATTTCTGCATCCAGTTGCTTCTTTTTTTCATTTTCTTCTCGAAATCGTTTCTGCAGCTGTACCTTTTGATATTTCATGTGATCTACATTCTGCTCTAGTTCATTAGCACGTTTCTCATTTTGGATTGACAGTGATGCCAATTTCTTACTGTCTTGTTGCTTCTTCTGTAAGACCTGAGATCATATGGAATATTTCAAAATGAAAAAGTGAATATCTCACATTCATCAACTAAACTTAATCTTTTCATTCAGTGGTAAGGGCAGGCATTTTCCCTAGATTTTCATTTATTTTTGACAGGTTGACAAACAATTGTTTACTCTTCTACATTCTAATTTTGCAATTAGGGAAACTATAATAATTTCATCAGATATGTAAATATATAAAGAATGATGAGACTTCCTGATGCTGACAACCAAACAAAACAAAATAGACTCTGCTTTTTTATTAATGAGTATTTT